TATATTTTCTGGTATATTTTTTGAATTTTTTGATATATTTTTAAATATTTTATTTAGTATTTTTTTTGGCATTCTATTTGGCAGATATTTTGGTACTTTATCTGATATATTTTTTAGTATTTTTTCTGACATGTTATTTGATATTTTTTCTATTATATAATATTTTATTTGACATATTTTCTGGTATTTTACCTATCATATTTTCGGTAATATATTCTAGCATATTTTCTAACATTTTATCTGGTATATTTTTTGCCATATCTTCTGATATTCTATTTGGTAAATTTATTGGTATTTTATTTAGCAAACATTCTAATATTTTATATAACATATTTTTTGGTATTTTTTCTAGCATTCTATCTGATATTTTATCTGGTATTTCTTCTGGTATTTGATCTTGGCCGTTAAGGTCCATCGGTGCATACTGAGCTGGGCAGGTCCCAGGTTGAGGTCCAGCGGTGTATACTGCACTGGGAAGGTCCCATGTTAAGGTCCAACGGTGCTTACTAAGCTAAATAGATCCCAGGTTGAGGTCCAGCGGTGTACACTGAGCTAGAACGGTCCCAAATTAAGGTCCAGCGGTGCATACTAAGCTAAGAAGGCCCCAAATTGAGGTCCAGCGGTACATATTAAGCTGAGAAATTAGCAAAGAGATTGATACAGAGAATCGGCGAAGAAAATTAGCAAAAAGCTTAGCGAAGAATTAGCAAGGCGGAAGTACAGATTGGAGTTAATGCAAACATAATCGAGGAGAAATTAAAAAAAGAGGCGAAGAGGAAGACGAGAAGGAGGATAACGAGGAGGACGAAGACGACGAGGAGGAGGACGAGGAGGAGTACGAAAAGGAAAACGAGGAGGAGGACGAGAAGGAAAACGAGGAAGAAGACGAGGAGGAAGACGAAAAAGAGGACGAGGAGGAGGACGAGGAGGAAGAGGATAGCTAATCGAAGAAAAGGAGGAGGACGAGGAGGAAGAAGATAAAGCGGAGGAAGAGCGCTTTAATAAAATCTAATAATCCTTACCTAGCAGGTAGGGAAAAAAATAAAATATGTTAATAAATTATCCATTATATTATATACGGTATATTTATTTCCAGTAATAAAAACCAATATATTCAAGTAAATTACCATATTCTAATATATATTTTATATAAAATATTTTATTAATTCGATCCAGAAAAGAAAAAAATCAAAAAATCAAAATATTGTCTCTGGTTTAGTTCGGTCATACGCACGAAATAAAATACAAAAAAATTTTTTTCCGCTATTAGACGGCAATAGCATTTCTCCACCCCTATATTTCGGCACCCCCCTGCCTTCCGTGTGTAT